AAATCAACCTACACAGACTTCAATCGACAGTGAACAAACTTAAAGTAACAGTTTAGAAGACTTCTCTGAAAATCATCTTGTTGAAGATTTACCGGGAAGTCTTATGTAGAAAGTCCAATTTCTGACATTATTCGGTCAATAGCAAAAATAACATGTTTATCCGAGAAGAAGTCTTCTCGATTTTATGGTCAACAAAGAAAAGTTGAAAGACTTCCAGAGAAGTCTTCTCTAAAAAAACACAAAGAGAGTCACTTGCAAAACTAGCATATGCTTTGACCATAAGACATCCTCGGAAGTCTTCACGATAAGACTTCTACGAAAATTTTCTTCGCGAACAGATCTGGGAAAAAAAATCAATTTCATACCTTGAACCAGTGAGATAACTTGCTTACTTCTCCAAGCACATAGAAATTCACAAAGAAAGAGACTTAATTGTTAATGACCAAGAATCATGAGCTTCAACTGCTATATGAACCTTACAAACTCTAGAATCAATAATCTTAGATATTTTGGATGAATATAGAGAGAAAGTGAGAAAGATGTAGTTTGTATGCAAAAGAAATGAGATAGGCTGATTCAAAACTTGATTTTTTGATACATTAAAAGCTTCACATTGTTTGTTTATGGTTGTTGGGTGAACTGATGGCAATGACATTTTCGTGAATACTTGATGAAGATGCGGATGATAGAGTAGTAAAACACTAATTTTCGTAAAAAAACAAAAAATAATAATGGAAATTTCGTGAATAATCAGAACTTCTGGGGTAAATAGGACAATTCAAAAAAAAAAATCATAGATTAGTTTTGTGTTTGACTTTAAGTTGTGAATCATATTTGAAAGAAACCATATTTATGAAGATATTAAATTAAGGAAAATATAAAATAGTTATAAAACTTCTCACCTATGACGAGTAAGTATCATACCAACCGGCATCGACAATATTAGAGTTTCTAAAATTTAGTGTTTTATAAAAAGTAATTAGTTTTAAAACTATGCAATATATAGTTTCACTATTTTTTGTTTTATTATGTAAAATATATATTTTGAAAACAAACTTGTATAGATTTTTTAAATTTACATGTACTGGATGAAATATCTGTAATATTGTACATATTCACAAATATTTATAATTTTTTTGGATATTCGGAAACTGGATATTTGTATTTGCAAAGCAAAGAAAATCGAAAAATCAAATATCCATCAATTACGAAGCAAATCACAAACGCTGAAATTATGGTATTATTCTATCTATCCGCATCCCTACTTAAAGATGATGATCATCCATCAATTCATATGTGTCAAAACACTTGTCCAAATTTATGTGATGAATAGCATTGTCATTATGCAAGTGACGTGTCACTTCCATAAGAGACACAAAGCTACGTGTCTTTTCCTCTCTTTACTATAAATATGTACTAGTGATATGCCGAGGCTACGCACCGGATTCATATGTTTTTTTTTTCTAATGAGTTCAAAATTTCTTTTTAATCCTTGTAATGGTGGTCAATGACAGTATGTTACTTTGTTTTCAAGTTGCTTAGGACAAGGAGGAGGTCAAACAGGAATATCATAAGTGGTTTTCAATAGATTGATTCAATAAAAATAAATAAATAACTGACATTTGCACTGAAGAAATATAGTTAAAATTAGAAACATAAAATAAAGTTGATGCTCCAAAAGAAAAACATGTTAATGAATGTGTTTGTTTTGTGATTATTTTGTTTGAACAAAGATAATAAATTATTTCATCCTCTTAAAGTAATAACAATCCTCACATGTTATGTTCATGTCATGGATGGGGCAATCTGTCAGAGGCTTCACCGTGGACGTATTGGTTAAATATTGATGTTAAAAGAGATGTTGTTTTAAAAGATCCTGGTAAGATCTATTAAAATAAGTACTTTGGAGATGCTAATGCTCGTTCAAGGAAACTAGAACGGCGTCGAAAATATATCCATTATCTCCAAGGTACGTACTGATTTAAGATTGGTTTATTCTAGAAACTCCGAGTTTGGTATGATTTTGCAGATACATGCAATTTATAAAGTCGAACGCAAATGGAACATGGTTTAAAATTGGTGAAACTGCGATTACATGGCGTTCTGAGAAACAAAGATTGACTTCGACTTCATCGAAGCATTCCAAGAACGTGTAATCCCTAGGTCAATGAGCCAACACACACAAGAAGCAAACGGAATACTAACCAAGAAAAAATCGACGAAAATATTTGAAGATAATTCGGCTTGCGTCGCTCAACTCAAAGAAGGTTATATCAAGAGCAACAGAACAAAGCACATCCTTCCAAGATTTTTCTCGTATATACGGGAACTCGAGAAAAAAAAATGGACATGGAGTATGTATGATCATACGACAATCCAGTTGATTTGTTAACAAAGGCTCTTCCTACTACAACATTCCGAAAGCACGTCTATGGTATCGGAATTCAACGTTTCCGTGACCTATGAAGAAAAAGCTGTCCATTATTCTTAGAGGAAGATTACGTTAGTGTACTCTTTTCCTTTTTCATGGTTTTTAGCCTAATAGATCTTCCATGACTAAGGTTTTAACAAGGCACTACATAATACAAGATGGATAATCAAGGGGGAGTGTTAAAGATAATGATCATCCATCAATTCACATGTGGCAAAACACTTGTCCTAATTTAGGTGATGAATATCATTGTCGTCATGCATGTGTCACTTCCATATCAGACACAAAGCTACGTGTCTTTTCCTCTCTTTACTACTCCATTTGTTTCTAAGTAAGTGTTATTCTACTATTTTTTTCTTGTTTCAAAATAAGTGTCACTTTATGTTTCCAATACAACTTTTTACATTTAATCTCTTTCTTACCTTTTTAACTAACTAGTAGATATTTTTTAAATCATTTTTATTTAAATAATTATATATTAAATGAGGGCATAGTAGTATATTGGATTTTTAGTTATGTAAACCCTCAACTAAAGATTAATCGTAAAAAAAACCCTCAACTAAAAATCATGTGAAATAAACCCTCAACTTTATGTGTGTTAATATTTTCGCCCCTCCGTAACTTTTGTCATCATTTTTTTACGGCGAAACGTTAACTGTTGACAAAAGGTTATGGAGGGGCGAAAACATTAATGAACATAAAGATGAGTGTTTATTTCACAGGATTTTTAGTTGAGGTTTGTTTTACGATATATCTTTAGTTGAGGATTTAAATTACAAAAAAAAAGTTTTTGATTTAAACCTGCAATGAAAAATAAAATAAAACAATGAATAAACTCATAGTTAAACCAATCATAAAGTGAATTAGTTTCATTTAATTTCTGAACAAGTCAAACCTCATCTTGTAAAGCTGGAGTGGAACGTTGAGTACCTAACTCTCTTAAGTTGTCTGAGCTTCTCAAATCAATGGAGAACCTACTAATTTTAATATAAACATAATCAAATACAGAAATAAGACCACAGTTAATGTGTAGAATGGTGTCTTAGTGAACGCCTCTAACATATCTATAACTTAAATTAGGAAAAGCTATCTTTTAGTTACCTTTTGTCTTTTCTAAGATTGGCTGGTGGGTCGGATGGAAATGCAGGAGTAAATGGTTTGAGTAATGTAGCCACTGAAAATGGCATTAAAGGCACTGTCCTTATAAGACAACCACTGAAAGATGAACACGCTGAGGGAGGTTTTACCATAGCATTGAGAAACTGAGATAATTTGTTAGAGAAAAAAGAACGAATTGACACAGATTGATCCACTTGATTTGTTGTCTAAGCTAATGTGGATTCCTCACCAAAATGAGGATCAGATACCTGAATTTTAAACTCCGGTCTTAGGTTATTCCTATGTACGAATTGACTAATGCAAAATCTAAACCAAACACTAATCTCAAAAACAAGTTTTTTTGTGAAAGAGCAAACATGGAAACAAGAATAGCTACAAGTTAGATTTACCGAAGGAGTGCGAGGTCTCATTGACAAAGAAAATGATATTGTACTAACAGTAAAATCGATCATAAAATTACTAAATAATCAATATATATAGGATTTTCTCAAAAAAGGATTTTTAGTAATTTAAACCCTCAACTAAAGATTAATCGGAAAACAAACCCTCAACTAAAAATTATGTGAAATAAACCCTCATCTTTATTTTCATTAATGTTTTCCCCCCTCTGTAATATTTTCGTCAACAGTTAACGTTTCTCCGTCAAAAGTTACGGAGGGACGAAAATATTAACGGACATAAAGATGAGGATTTATTTCACAGGATTTTTAGTTGAGAGTTTGTTTAATGATTAATCTTTAGTTAAGGGTTTAAATTACTAAAAATACTAGTATATTTGTTCATTTTCTTAATTTTCATAAAATATACTCCCTCCGTTTCGAATTAATTATCATTCTGGTAGAAAAAAATTGTTTCAAAATAAGTGTCGTTTTAGAGTTTCGAGATAAAATTTATTAGTTTTATATAATATTTTATTTTTCTATTGGTTGAAAAGTGGTTTGGTGTATAGGTAATTATATTTTTTTCTTGAAAATATGTAAAATTAAATGTTTTCTTAATCTGTGTGAAAAAATGTAGAATGACAATTAAAATGAAACGGATGGAGTATCTAAGTAACAGTTATATTGATATGTATGGAGTATAAATATGTATGTGCTCTCTGTTTTCTTTGGGAATTAATGAACATAAGTTTCATAACTTTTACTCTCTGTCTCGTGATCAAATTCTCTCATCTCTCCATTTCTAAATTTGCTTCACATATATATAAACACAAATAATTAAACCTCGCATTAAATCACAAAAGTATCCTAGTTGTGTGGTGTTAAAAAAAAAGTATCCTAGTTGTGTCTTCGATTCAGGACTGTAGAAGTGTATGTCGTTTTAAGTGTTACAGAAACGGCAAGTGGTTTGGCTAAGCTTTGTAAAATAGCAGTCAGACGGCGTCGTATCCGAACAGGTGCGTCATAGTTATACGCGCTTTTAAATATGCAGTAATAGATAGATAAATAAAGAAACACACTTGCGAAGCTTCTTCCTTTGGTAAATTTCAAGTGTAAAAGAGAAAAGCTGTTAAAGGCGCATTTTCTCGGATCTCAGATCTTAGATCCCAATTCTTCTGTAACGTTGATCCAACAGGTAGATTTGCTTTCTTCTCCATCTCGATTTCCCCAGGATTTGATTTTCACTTCTTCGTTCAAATTTGTATTTTTTTCTCAGAGTTTTTTTTTTTTTTTTTTGTTAATGAATCTATCGGTAATCTGATTTGTATCTGTTGAAATTCACTGGTCAATGGAGCAAAAAATTGCAGAACAAAGGCAGCTGATTTGTGGTGGAATTTGATTAAAAAAAAAAAAAAATTTGGTATCATGGATCTGTGTCTACGTTGGTGGTTGTATTCGATCTCGGAATGGGAGAAATAGCTTAAGACTATTCGATGTTGAAATCATTGTAGATTGAGAGTTGTGCTTTGTATTCACTCTAAATAGTAAATCTTATAAATGTCTCTGCTATGTAGGTGGGTGTAATAGCTTTAAATCTTTGCTGGGTTCTTCTTAGTAATGGCGAGAAGGCAAGTGGGTTCAACACGACGTGTAGGGGATGCTGGAAGCTTCCCTTTTGCTGGAGCCTTGCACTCTAAGTCTCGTTCTTCTCCTCTTTTATCTATCTGCCTTGTTCTTGTGGTATGCTTCCTTTTTTCTTATGCTTCCTTCCTATGGATTTTGCTTCATTATTATTGATATTTTCTTTTGTTTCCAGGGGGCTTGCCTTCTCATTGGCTACGCTTACAGTGGTCCAGGTATGTATAACTAATAGTGCCTTTTGCATTATGTATAGCTCACCTAGTCAATTTTCTCCTATACAGGTATCTTTAAAAGTGTTAAAGAAGTCAGCAAAGTTGCAGGTAATCCTTCTTCCTCACTTTCACTACGCATACATGTGCGTAAGACACTCAGATTTATTATAATATATTAGCAGGTGACTATTCCTGCACATCAGAAGTCCAGAGAGCCATTTCTGTCCTTAAGAAGGCTTATGGAGATGGGATGCGCAAGGTTTTGCACGTTGGCCCTGAGACTTGCTCAGTTGTTTCCAGCCTCTTGAAAGAAGATGATGAGACTGAAGCATGGGGTGTCGAACCTTATGACATCGAGGATGCTGATTCTCACTGCAAGAGTCTTGTCAGCAAAGGCCTTGTACGTGTCGCTGACATCAAGTTCCCTCTCCCCTACAGGGCGAAATCCTTCTCTCTTGTCATCGTCTCAGATGCTCTCGATTATCTCTCACCCAAGTACCTTAACAAGACCATGCCTGAACTCGCTAGGGTAGCTTCAGATGGTGTCGTTCTTTTTGCAGGTATCTTTATCCTAAAGAATAACAAATGTTTTTTCATTCTCGATTTGGTTTCCCTACTCTTGAGCTTCAACTGTTCTTAGGTCTCCCTGGTCAGCAGAGAGCTAAAGTTGCTGAACTGTCTAAGTTCGGTCGCCCTGTAAGTTTACTTTACCCTGTTCTCCTTATTGTTATATATTACACAACCCTTCCTCGTTATGTAATAAGTGGCATTACCATAGTTTATGTAGTTAGCCATGATCTAAAACCATGACTCTCGAAAGTTGCATTTTTAAACGCATGCTTAAATGACATTGTACCTACAAAACTATTCCTGAAAAGAGACTGCAAAGTATACACGACCTAATAC